TTGAATTTCAAGAAAACTTTATCTGCACTTCTGTCACAGAAAATGTCAGTTTCATCTTCATAGTTAAATAATCTCTCTCCTTGGTAGATTTTCAGCTTCTTGATGGGATGCATCATAGTCACCTTGATCACCTTGCTTCCTCTGTGGTGTGTAACCTTGCATCTAGAAGTTCAGTAAGTATTTGTTCATTTTAGTTGCATCAGAGGGCACAAATTATAAGAAAAAATGAACATTTTGCAATCTTTGGACTCTTTTCTTTATGGTAAGGTGATGCAGCAAAGTTAAAAAGAAGAAACATTGTGGATGTTTGGAGAACAGACTAAGTGAGGCTCCTGCAGTCTCTGGGTGAGAGTGGAAACCTGGCCAGTGGGTGGTAGTGGAGATGGGCAGAAGTGAGAGATGTGAAGTGTGTTTTTAAAGCGGGAATGAAGGGCTTTCCCTGGTGGTGCAAAGAATCCTCCTGCCAACGCAGGGAAGATGGGTTTGATCCCTGGTCTGGCAAGATCCCATGTGCTGCAGAGCAACTCAGCCCCTGCTCCACAACTACTGAGCCTGTGTGCTGCCATGATTACGCCCGCTTGTCTAGAGCCCATGCTCTGCAACAAGAGAAGCCACCTCAAGGAGAAGCCATGCACTGCAACGAAGAGTAGCCCCTGCTTGCTGGAACCAGAGGAAGCTCTTACAGCAAGAAGACCCAGCACAGCCAAACATAAATACACAAGCAAATAAAATGTAACAAAGTGGGACTGATAGAGGATTTGTCTTTGGATTGAATGGGGGAGGGGAAAGAAGTTAACGATGACTTGTAGGTGTTTGGGGTTGGTAACTGGAGCTGATGGCCTCATTTCTTGAGAGGGGATGAAGGCAAAAGCACCAGGTTTGGGGTGCTCACGGAGATGCTGAGGTACCCATGGGGAAGCCTAATGGTGAAGTCAGGGGGCAGTTGGGTGGGTAGATACATGAGTCTGGAGATGAGAGAAGACACAAGGGCTGCAGGTACAAATTTGAGAGTTCCCAGCACAGATGGCTTCAAAGATTGGGGGTGGAAAAGATGCCCTTGGGGAAAGTGAGGAAGGAAAGAGTCCAGGCCTGGGTCCTGAGGCTCCATGGTGCCTAGAGATCTGAAGTCGGAGACAGAGCAGCTGAGGAGGAGGAGGAGGGAAACCAGGAAAGCGAGGAAGGACAGCATTTCAAGGTTAGAGCTGCCCATGCCAATTATTGTCAACAGATCAAACAAATGAAATCACAGAAGTGTTCTTTGGGTGGGAAAGAAGGGTTGCCATTGGCAGGTATAGTTCAGTGGCATGAAGAAGACGGCAAGACAGAGAGGGGACTTCCCTGGTGGTCCAGTGGTTAAGAACCTGCCTCACAATGCAGGGGACGAGAGTTTGATCCCTAGTTGGAGAACTAAGATCCCACCACAATTAGAGACTGTGTACCACAACAAAAGATCCTGCGTGTCTCAAGGAAGACCTAGCATACCACATCTAAGAACTGACATGGCCAAATTAATTAATTAATTTAAAAATTCACATTAAAAAAGGAGGAGGCAGAGGAGTGGGCTGAAGCATGACTAGAAGATGAAGAATTTAAATATTGGGGTGTTTAATATACATTCATTGGATAAGACCATTCACTCTTTACCTGTCCAGCTTCCTAAGCCTCTCCCAAGTGTACTCACTCCATCCCCATGCCCGCCTCACTCTCAGTTACCATCAAGCCTCACCTGGACATTTCATCCACAGCATCCTAACTGGTACCCAGCCCCTACTTTGCTCCCTTTAAGCCCTTTCCCTATGGGGCCAGGAGAGCCTTCTGAAGACCTTACCTTTGATCATGTCACTCCTGTGTTTAGACACTCTTGATGGCTACCCATGACCCTGGGATAAAGTCCAAACCACTTGTAAGTTTTTAGGTCATCTGGCTCCTGCCTAGATCTCAGTATCTCTCAGTATTTCTCTGTCTGTCTCTCTTCCCACTTCATCTCTGCTCTTCGATCATTTTCTTTTACTGTCATCTTGTATTTTCTCTACTGTGCCCTACTCTCTTTGTCCTCCAGGTTCAAGTCTGAAGTCTGAGATTAAACATCATTGTCCTAGAAAGGCTTCCCTTGACCTCTTTGAGATCAAGCCCTCTCATCTCCACACTTCTTCTATCATCAGAAATGACATTTCTTTTCTCTTTTCCACCATTAGCGTTAGATAAACTGTTTTCACAATTTATAGCTACATCACAGTCCATGACACTGAGTAGGCACTCAGTAAATATTTCTTTAATAGATTAAGTGAAACCACATTCTCATTTCTAAGGAAATTCTCCACCAGAATTTTTCTGAAATAGGAGAATCTCTTAAAAGACTTTAGAGCCCTTATTTTTAGTAATGTAAGCTAATTTGGGCATTTTAGACAAGGCTTTTTGAAAACAACCGGTCAACAATATCTTAGGAGGTAAGACCTACAGACTCAATTTTTCTAAATCATCACTACTTAAAGACTGAATGTAATGCTTTCATTATGGGTTGTTTGTTACTCTGCTTAATAGTAAGTAACCTTTTGGTTGAGAGAGAGGTAAGTTAAATAATCCCTGATTCCATAGAAGCAATTAGTTATACATACATTAATTTGCCTGCTTTCAACTCAGGTACTATTAAAAAAAAAAACAAGAGGAGAAGTAGTGGGAGTTTAACAGCCATCTATTCTTTGTGACATTTTCAGAAAGCAAATGAAAATAATCCCTGAAACAAGCCAACTGCAGGGACATTCATTAACTTGATATGCTTTAATCTTGTGAATAGAAGCTGGAGCCGAGTCACTGAATCAAGAACTGCACACTCCCAGCTCTGGATGCCTGCAAGACATCCAGGTATGAGTGTTCTGACTGCACCTCCGATCAGCACGAACCAATCTGAACTCAGATTTGGACTCGTGAGGGTGCCGTGCAAAACCTACCCAAACCCTGGACTCCCTACCTCTGTGGTGCTCCATGCCTGGCACAAGGCTGCAGGTCTCAGCAGCATCTTCCTGGGCAGGCTCCTTGGCCATTCCCAAAGCTACTGCATCCTCCAGACTTAACCCTGTGCCATATAGTAGGTCCTTGTTGTTTACCTATTTTATATATCGTTGTTGTTGTTCGGTCACTAAGTCATGTCCAACTCTTTGTGACCTCATGGACTGCAGCATGCCAGGCTTCCCTGTCCATCACCAACTCCTGGAGCTTGCTCAAACTCATGTCCATCAATTCAGTGATGACATGCAACCATCTTATCCTCTGTCGTCCCCTTCTCCTCCTGCCCTCAATCTTTCCCAGCATCAGGGTCTTTTCCAGTGAGTTGGCTTTTCACATCAGGTGGCAAAGTATTCAAACTTCAGCTTCATCATCAGTCTTTCCAATGAATACGCAGGGATGATCTCCTTTAGGATGGATTGGTTTGGCCTTGCCGTCCATGGGACTCTCAAGCGTCTTCTCCAGCACCGCAATTCTTTGGTACTCAGCCTTCTTTATGATCCAATTCTCACATCTGTACTTGACTACTGGAAGTGTAGCAGTTAAATTATATGGGGTCATGCCTGTAAATCATTTCCCATGGTGACTGGAGCATACTGGAGTCATCAAATTAATTTAGTGAGTAGTAACCTAATTACAAATATATATGTATAATAAATAAAGAGTACATTGTGCATAGTAAGTGTGAAGTGAAGTCGTTCAGTCGTGTCCGACTCTTTGTGACCCCATGGACTGTAGCCTTCTAGGCTCCTTGGTCCATGGGATTTTCCAGGCAAGAGTACTGGAGTGGGTTGCCATTTCCTTCTCCAGGGGATCTTCCCGACCCAGGAATCGAACCGGGATCTCCCGCATTGTAGGCAGATGCTTTACCATCTGAGCTACCAGGGAAGCCCCATAGTAAGTGTAAATATGAAATTTATCTATAGATATATGTATAAAGTATAGTATGGTCACAGTACTAAGTCATAGTATAAACTGTATTTCTTACTGTAGATCATGGCTAAAATTTTTAAAAAACATTTTGTCTAGGACAAATAGGAATGAAATCACAGTATNTGCCGAAAAATTGATGCTTTTGAACTGTGGTGTTGGAGAAGACTCTTGAGTCCCTTGGACTGCAAGGAGATCCAACCAGTCCATCCTAAAGGAGATCAGTCCTGAGTATTCATTGGAAGGACTGATGCTGAAGCTGAAACTCCAGTACTTTGGCCACCTGATGCAAAGAGCTGACTCAGTGGAAAAGACCCTGATACTGGGAAAGATTGAAGGCGAGAGGTGAAGGGGATGACAGAGGATAAGATGGTTGGATGGCATCACTGACTCAATGGAGATGAGTTTGGGTAGACTCTGGGAGTTGGTGATGGACAGGGAGGCCTGGTGTGCTGCAGTCCATGGGGTTGCAAAGAGTCAGACACGACTGAGCTACTGAACTGAATGTGTATGGGTTAATCCCAAACTCCTAATTTGTTCCTTCCCTTTCCCCATGTTTGTTTTTTTTTTATGCCTGTGAATCTATTTCTGCTTTGTAAGTAAGTCCATTTGTATCACTATTTTAGATTCCACATATAAGTGATATCATAAACCATGTTGCCTGATAAGGCTGCCCTTCTCTTAACCCAGGGGTCACATGAGCAAAGTGATGCTCAGAGGACCAAAAGTCCTGGTGAGAAAGACATGGGACCAGAAACCAGGCCCTGTATGAGTCTAGTTTGAAACTTCTACCTATCTAGAGCCAACATCCCTGGGGCCCAGCCAGGTTGCCTTAGGGGATCTACTCCAGCGGTTCCCTCTGCAGCGTAGAGACCGCACTCTGCGCCCCGCCCCTTCGCTCCGACCAAGCCCCTCCACCTGGCCCCGCCTCTCCACCTGGCCCCGCCTCTCCGCCGGGACCCTGAGCTTCCTGCCTGGGGACGAGGCGCGCGACAGCAGGGGGCGGGGCCTCGGGGCCGCGCGTGCGCTCGCCGGTCCGCCGTGCGCATGCTCAGTGTTCTCGCGCGCGCTCGCGAGAGAGGATGGCGGGGGCCGCGCCGGGCGCCATCATGGACGAGGACTACTTCGGGAACGCGGCCGAGTGGGGCGACGAGGCGGAAGGCGGCCAGGTGAGGGGGGCACCGGGCGCCCCCGACGAGGGATGTTGGTCCCCGAAGCCGGCTGGCCTCCCCTGCCCCCGCCGCGTGATCCAAGCACAGCCCGCCCCGCCCCCTTCTGCCGCGCGTTTCGCCCCTGCCTCCTGCCCTCCCCTCTTGTTGCCGCCGCGGGGACCCACCGCGCGGCCTCTTGGGGGCGAGGGCGCGGGACGATGACCAGGTACCCGCAGGGACAGGCACGGGCGCCGCCCCCCAGTCGTCACCTGAGCTGACCCTCCGACCACCCTGGGGCGGTCTCAGAGGCGGGTCCTGGGAATTCTTAACCCCCCGGGCGGGGCGGACGCAAGCTCCAAAGTAGAGGATGGAGCTCAGACAGTTTGAAAAGTAGTCATACTTAAAAAAAAAAAAAAAAATCCAAGTCAGCATCAGGAGGAGGGGAAAGTGCAACTTTGTACTTTCTCACACGTGCTTTACTGTTTGTAAACCACACTCTTGGCGCTCTGGCTGATTCAGTCAGTCCTTGGCCTAAGTAACGACAAAAGGATCGTCCATCCTTGACCTTCAGAATTTTGCTGTGGATGGTGAGGGGGCGGTCACAAGCTTCTCTTCTGAAGTCAGGGTTGCAGGTCCCGAACTGGGCGCTCTCGCTGGGCCAGGGGACCCCAACCTGATTCTGATCCGAAGACCCTCCCGAAGTGATGTTTGAATCCCAGCTTCTCAGGCTCCTCCCCTGGGGACTGGAAAGCAGTTGGTTTAGAGGGCAAGAGGGAGGAACCTGCCTTTTATTTATCTGTTTATTTAATCTTTATTGGAGTATAGTTGCTTCCATGGTGGGTGAGCGGTTAAAGAATCCGCCTGCCATGCAGGAGATGCAGATTGGATCCCTGGGTCTAAAAGATCCCCTGGAGGTATGGCTACCCACTCCAGTATTCTTGCTTGGGTAGTCCCATGGACAGAGGAGCCTGGGGTCTATAGTCCATGGGGTCACAAAGAGTCAGACACAACTGAATTGACTTTTAATGCAGGGGGTCTAGTTTTTTTTTAAATAGTGTTGTGTTAGTTTCTAGGGTGGAACCTACCTTTGAACAGGAGTCAAGGTTAGGTGTGTGTGGGACAATCGAAGTTATGTTTGAAGGAAAAAAGCCTGCAGCGGCATGTTCTCCCTTGAAAGAGGCAGGTGGGGCATAGGAAGACATCAAAGCCAGGGGGCAGGGGTGCAAAGGTGGGCACTGTTTTCCAGGACCTGAGAGGAGGTCTGTGTGCTTAGTTGTCTGGTGGAAGCAGTGGGCTCTAAAGGGCCTTTGAGAGCTGCTGAAGAGCATGACTTGTTCAAGAGTTGGAGCAGGGAGTGACACTCCAAGATTCAAGTGTTGGCTCATTCCATGGTGTTGGAGGCTTAGAGTGGAAGGATGGAGTCAGATTTAGCTAACTGAAAATCTGGGCTGGTCAGGTGCTTTCCTGCATTATCTCATTCCACGGACAAATACTGAGTTGGGTATCACTCTGCTCATTTTGTAAATGAAGAAAGTGAGACGGGAGGACCTGGTCCTGCCCACAGTCAAGAAAGTAGTACATGAAGGAAGGGGATCCCACCTACATCCTTTGTCTCCATCACCACTCTAGCAGATGCTGGACCACCGAGGTGATCCAGAAGAGAGACACGTAAGGCATCAGTCAGTTCAATGGTGGGTTGGTGGTTCAAGCATCTTGTTCAAAGTGCCCTAGTATTTGTCACATTACACCTTCTAGTCATAGTGATACACCTGGGGCATGTCTGAGGGCTGTCCAGTCAGTGCCCTCATTTTATAAATTGAGGGCTTATGCTGTTTTGAATAGCAGAGCCAAGCCTAGACCCCACAGCCAGGGGCTGGGGAGGCTCACTTTTGGGGAACTTGAAGCACAATCCTGATCTGGTCCTGCTAGGCTCCCACAATGGAGGGGTGGACTAGATGTTCATTTCCCATTCAGTCTAAGCATGACTGTGGAGGAGGGAGGGAAAGTCACCCAGTTTGCTGATCCCTGGCTTATCTCTTACCGCACTGTGTAAGGGTCAGTTGCACTGAGGTTGGTCTCTCCTACTAGTTTGTAAACTCCTTCAGCAGAAAAAAACTGTCTGTTGTCTTTCATTTGCTTAATTTTCCTGGTGACAAGTACAGTGCTCAGTACAGAGTGAATGTTCAAAACGCATCTGCTTGTTGGTATAACAGTGTTAGAGCTGGACAGACCTTGGGGTCATTGAGTCCATCACCTCCACATCCTCATCCTGCTTTGCCCTTGGATTCAGTGACTGGCTAAAGGTAACTTCGGTGCAGAATGGGGACTAGAGTCCAAACAGCAAATGGATGGCTAGTGTCTTCAAGAACCACTTCATCAGTCTTTGTTGGGAAACTTTCTGTGGCACATAAGAGAGAGTAACAGTGAAGACAGTAATCGTAGCTGAAATATGCTGAACTCTTATTGAATGTCAGGTGCTAGGCATCGCTTTTCCAGAAATCAGCTCATGGGATCTCACAGCAACCCAGTGGGCAAGGGCACTACTCTTACCTTTGTTCAGGAAAAGAGAGACAGGTACTGGGCGAGGTGTCCTTTGTGAGATGCAGTAACTTCTGTGACCACCGTGCACGCTACGCAAGCATGGGGTCATGCTGCAGGCCCACTTGGTATGATTCTCAATTCCATTCTCTTGGTCATTTGTCACTTGAAAGTCAAATGAAATGATAAATGTGGAACGCTTGACATGGACAGCGTTACATGGGCTTAAGGTGAAATTTCAGGGTGTCTGTGGTAATGAAAAAATAACTTGGCTCTTTCTGCCAACCACAGGAGGATGACTATGGAGAGGGAGAAGATGACGCTGAGGTCCAGCAGGAGTGCCTACATAAATTTTCTACCCGGGATTATATAATGGAGCCCTCTATCTTTAACACTCTAAAGAGGTACGTGAGAAAGTCTGGCTGCGTTGGGAGGAGAAAGCTGCATAACAGACCCAGAGATGACATGTAAAGTCAGAGGGACATGATGCATGAGTGGAAGGCTTCCAGGGGCCCCCACTTTAAAAGCATGAACAACCCGTCTTCCTCCTCCCTACCCCCCGTGGCTGTCCATCCCCATGCCCTCTGTGTCCATTCGAGTGCCACAGCTTGTCTATCACTTTTCTAGGTATTTTCAGGCAGGAGGATCTCCAGAAAATGTTATCCAGCTTTTGTCGGAGAACTACACAGCTGTGGCACAGACCGTCAACCTGCTGGCCGAGTGGCTCATCCAGACAGGTGCTTTGCGGGGGTGCCTAGGGCCTGCCTGTTCCCCACCCACATCTTTCTAATTGGATCTTTTTTTTAAAACTTTATTTTATGTTGGAGTATAGTTGATTAACAATGTTCTGTTGTTTTCAGGTGTATAGCAGATTCAGTTATACCTATACATGTATCTTTTCTTTTTCAAATTTTTTCCCGTTTAGGTTGTTACATAATATTGAGCAGAGTTCCCTGTGCTGTACAGTAGGTCCTTGTTGGTTATCTATTTTAAATATAGCAGTGTGTACATGTTGATCCCAAACTCCCTAACTGTCCCTTCTCCCACCCTTCCCATTCTCTCAAGTCTGTGAGTCTGCTTTGTAAGTAAGTTCATTTGTATCATTTATTTTTAGATTCCCCATATAAGCTATATCATATGATACTTGTCTTTTTCCGACTTAGTTCGCTCAGTAGACAGTCTCTAGGTCCATCCATGTTGCTGCAAATATGGATCACTATAATGCTGATAAATTGGAAAGCTTTTCTTTGTTTTTCTGGTTTTAAGACTTCTGTAAGTAAGAGGGACTTCCCTGGTGGTCCAGTGGCTAAGATTCCATGCTCCCAGTGCAGAGGACCTGGGTTCAATCCTTGGTCCGGGAACTAGATCCCACATGCCTCAACAAAAGATGTCATGTGCTGCAACTAAGACCCTGTGCAACAAATAAATAAATTTAAATAAGAGATAAAGACTTCTCTAAGTGAGAGTTGAACTTCTTACCCATTTTCATCTGCTTGGTTCAATGATTGAGGTTTGCAGAGAGCTTGCAAGTGTAATTCTCAGTGAGTTGTTCCCTGCTATGTTGTAGAATTGGACGGTGTATGTTCAGTGTGTTATTTTTAAGAAGTCTATTATAGCGAGCAGTGGATGATGGGTAATTGAGGACCAGGTATGATTATGGCTTTTAGCTAATACGATCAAAGTAGGGCCTTACTGGAAATCAGCTCCTTTGAGTAGGGATGACATGGTGGGGTAAGTGCTGCCCAGAAGCAAGTCGACTTGCTGCTGTCATGGTGACCACACCGGAGTGCCTCTTGGCTGACAGCGATCTGTTCTGCTGTGGGGGCTGTTCTTCTATCATCCTCCCTGTCTGTTTGGCAATCTGTCCTTGTTCCCTGCAAGCCTCAGAAGACGTCACCGTGCTTTACACATAAACAAGCATCTGTGTCTGTTTCGCCCTGGTCTCCTTTTGGGGTCTTACCAATATGTTAAATATGTGTAATATTAATTTTAATAAGAAACTCCAAATCCTAAATGGTTAGAAGCAGTTTTGTAATACATGATTTGCACATGGACTTTTGATCTACTTTCTCTAAAGTAACGCGAATTGAGAAGTAGCCATTTTCCATCTCGTTGCTTTCATTCTCTTCCAGGTGTTGAGCCAGTGCAGGTTCAGGAAACTGTGGAAAATCACCTGAAGAGTTTACTGATCAAACATTTTGACCCCCGCAAAGCAGACTCTATTTTTACTGAAGAAGGAGAGGTGAGGAACTTCCCCTTCCTCTACCCCAGCTCCTAGAACACGTTGCTGATTCCACATGTACACCGGCGCCTGGCGTGCTGTCATGAAAGAGTTGGGGGCTGAAGTCAGGCTGGGAGACCCAACTTCTGAATCGCCTGCTAAATGCCCCTGCTTGGGGTGGGAGGGCATATGACCTCACCAGCCCTGGGTCTGCTTCCTCTTGCACAGGACACTGCAGCTGAAGCCAGGAGCCCAGGGGCTCTTCTGTGATTGTTGGCAAACATAACCTTCACTTAAGCTAGAGCCAGGCTTCTTACCTTGCTGTTTGTTTGTTTGTTGTCAGACCCCTGCTTGGCTTGAACAAATGATTGCACACACCACTTGGAGAGACCTTTTTTATAAGCTGGCTGAAGCCCACCCAGACTGTTTGATGCTTAACTTCACTGTTAAGGTAGGAAGGATCCTGGAGTCAGAGAAAAGATAAAAGTACTCATGAATGAGGGTTACTTTGAGTTGGTTGGTTGGTGGTCTGTTCCCTCTGAAAAGATCCTGTGTGCTTTTTTGGTAAAGGTCTTCATCGTTTCACTTTAGTAAGTCTTGTTAAATGTTGAGAAAGAAAAGCACAGAATGTGTATGTTTTGGGGTCGACATAGACTGTGTTTTAGGGTTTGGCAGTAACACGTTACAGAGCCCAACGTGTTCTGAGAGGAGCCTTTACGAGTGTCTGGTCAGTCTCCTCCGTCTCACAGATTAAGCGTCACGGGTTGGGGGTGGGGAGTTGGCTGGGGCTACCAGCCTAGTTAGTGGTGAAGCGGGCACCCAAGTAAAAGTTTGAGACCCAGAACCAGTGCATGGCCCTCCTCACCCCAAACCCCGCCGTCGGTCACCTTCTTGTGAACCTGTGACTGTGGCTCATGTGTTTGGCTTCTCCTTTCTGTATTGTAGCTTATTTCCGATGCAGGATACCAAGGGGAGATCACGAGTGTGTCCACAGCCTGCCAGCAGCTGGAGGTGTTTTCTAGAGTGCTCCGTACTTCTCTAGCTACAATTTTGGATGGAGGAGAAGAAAACCTTGAAAAAAATCTCCCTGAGTTTGCAGTAAGTTCTTTACTTTATGTGGCTCAGATTAGAAGGAGGTCATTTGGGGTCATGTGTTTTCAAAAGCAAAATGCTCTTTACTCTGGAGAATGTCTGGGTCAGAGGTCACCTCCTCAGAAGGTGTAGAACTGTTGGCGTCTGACTCCCATCTGCCTTTGCTGTTGCTGTGGTCACAAAGCCCAAACATGCTCTTCTCTCCATTCTGCAGAAGATGGTGTGCCACGGGGAACACACGTACCTGTTCGCACAGGCCCTGATGTCCGTGCTGGCCCAGGAGGAGCAGGGGGGCTCGGCTGTGCGCAGGATTGCACAAGAGGTTCAGCGCTTCGCCCAGGAGAGGTGAGAGGCGCCATCTCTGTTCTCTCACCTCCACACCATTGCCCTGTGTCCACAACTGAAGACCCTAGGTCCTCCTGTTTTGATATAACTTCCTCTTACCCATAGAGCTGGGAAAGAGAGCTTGCATTCTAAAGTCTTGCTTTGATGAGTATTTTGTAAAGGATTTGCTTACAGTTTAATTCACTGTATTTATGAATTTATTTATTCCCAATATGTTGGGATTCATCAGTAGTAAATGACAGTAGACTTGAAACAGTTCTTCAGTGGTCCAGTTGTTAGATTGTGGTTCATCTTTTACAGAACAGAATTATTAGCTTTATTAGCTAATAAAAGTTTATTTTTACTAATTAGCTTTATTTTCTACTCATAGAGTCTTAAGATACTGAAAAGTGCATGGTTCCTTTTAGGAAGCCCGTAAGCTGCACTGGATCCTTCTTTCCCAGTTAGCTCCAAATGTTTTCATGGGTCAGTAGGTAAAAAATATCAGTGGGTGAGAGAAATTTGAAAAAACAAAGACTCCAGCAATTCAAAGCATAAATGTGAAAGGCGGGAGGGAGAGAAGGCAGGGGAGGGCCGGGCAGGGAGCCACCTTACCAATGATGGGTTATTGATATTGTTTCATCAAGAGGCCACGATGCCAGTCAGATCACACTGGCTCTGGGCACAGCTGCCTCCTACCCCCGGGCGTGCCAGGCCCTCGGGGCCATGCTGTCCAAGGGAGCCCTGAACCCGGCTGACATCACAGTCCTGTTCAAGATGTTTACGAGCATGGACCCGCCCCCTGTTGAACTCGTGAGTGGCCTTTCATTTTAACCGTAAGGTGGGACACCTTCAATGCCAACTGGAAGTATATTCTTTTGGAACGTTGGTGCTCCTCTTAGTTCTCAGGTTAGGGAGTGCACATGCCTGTCGAAATGTTCCTGTCCTCTCCCTGGTCCGTCCTTATCATGTCCTCGGCCCTCAAGCCCCCTGGCACACTCTCAGTGAAGGACCTGAGCTGGCACTCCCGCGTGGGCTTGTGTGGACTCACCTCCCATCTCGTTCCTGCTTTCGTTTTCACTGAGTTGTGTTTCTTTGCAGATCCGGGTACCCGCCTTCCTGGACCTGTTCATGCAGTCACTCTTTAAACCCGGGGCCAGGATCAACCAGGACCACAAGCACAAGTATATCCACATCTTGGCATACGCAGCGAGCGTGGTGGAGACCTGGAAGAAGGTGGTGTCTGTGCTGAGAGCGCATGGGCTTTCGGGAGACATGAACCTCCTCTGTTTGGTGTTACGTGTGAATTTTGGCTGTAGAGAGTCACAGGCCCAACTAGTGTCTGAAATGTCTTTTCTGGTGTTTCTGCATAAAATAGCCAAAGTGCTAAATGTCTTAAGGAAATGTGCATCGCATCTATGATACTAATTCAAACTGTAATCTGAAGTGTGACTAAAGAAACGAAACTGATTCCCTAAGACACTGAGAGACACAGGTCCCTCTGGTCTGCAGTGTGTGTTCGCTGGGTGACAGGAACACTTGACTTCAGAGACGGGTTTGCAGAGGGAAGGCGGAGGCTGGGTTACCTCGACTGCAGGGACACGGGTGCCATCAGGATTCACCAGCTTGCTGTGTTTTCAGAACAAGCGTGTCAGCATCAATAAAGACGAGTTGAAGTCCACATCAAAAGCTGTTGAGACTGTTCACAACCTGTGCTGCAATGAGAACAAGGGGGCGTCGGAGCTCGTGGCTGAGCTGAGCACCCTCTATCAGTGCATCCGGTGAGCAGAGGAAGGTTCTAGATGTAATTCTCTGGAGAGGAGCTGGTTTGAATTTTTATATTAACAACTCAAAATATATCACAAAAGATTCAGAGGTACTTACTCATTTGTTTTCTCTTTTGTAAATATATAGAGAGAACTTTGTTTTAGCAGCATGAGTAATTTTCAGATGTTTACGTGCCATTTACCTGCCAGAAATCTGTTCACAAATTAGACTAAGAAGGAAGATCAACCAGAATTACAAAAATTGATTTGAAGAAGAGGATCTACTCAGAGTAAAAGTTAGACCAACAGAGTTTTGCCTGGATAGATGTGTGTTACGTCAGTTCTATAAGTAAGTGCTCACTAGGAAAGCTTACACACAGGTGTCTTCATAGGCATGTGAATTTTCGTCTGTTCGTTTGTACTAGAGCCTAAGGGCTTGCTTTAACCCAGTCCACCAAGCTCTCAGAGTGCCGCATTAATGGCCTTCTTCTTCTAAACCAGCAAAGTTGGTCTAAAGTTGGTAGAGCATGGGTTTCGGGTTCTGGTGCCCAAGAGGGTGCTGCTCTCATCAGACTGTACTCATGGCGTCTCCCTGGCAGTGCACGTCGAAGAGTGAAGTGATAGGCTGGACTGAGTTGTTTGGTTTTGGTGTTTGCATTTGCCTTGTTTGCCGGTAGGTTTCCAGTGGTGGCCATGGGGGTACTGAAGTGGGTGGACTGGACGGTGTCCGAGCCGAGGTACTTCCAGCTGCAGACCGACCACACCCCGGTGCACCTGGCGCTGCTGGATGAGGTAGGGGCTGCGAGGCTCCTGCGGCAGCTCTGTGTCCTCGCCTCCCACATGTCTGTTCCGTGCCTTCAGAAGACAGTCTTTTCAAAGCTAGTTATTTCTACTCCAAATGAGGAGTTTCCTTTTAAGGAACTAGTTTCGTTGATTCTGTAGACTTCTCAGTTTCTATCAAGTGTTCCTGAGAGGATGAGGAACGGGACAGAAGTTGACTGGCCCTGGGAACCACTGTCTTGCGCCACGAGCCGTGTTTGGTGGTGCTTCCCCGAGGCCGATGGGGAGCCCATAGCCGCAGCTGTGCGGCTCAGGGTGGCTCCCTCTGGCCTCTCTGTAGATCAGTACCTGCCATCAGCTCCTGCACCCCCAGGTCCTGCAGCTGCTGGTGAAGCTCTTCGAGACAGAGCACTCACAGCTGGACGTGATGGAGCAGGTGAGTGGCAGCCTGGGGTGAGATGGGCAGCGGGGGGGTGGCCATTCTCACACTTGTCGCTCCACACCCGCAGCTCGAGTTGAAGAAGACCCTCCTGGACAGGATGGTGCACCTGCTGAGCCGCGGCTATGTGCTCCCTGTGGTCAGCTACATCCGCAAGTGTCTGGAGAAGCTGGACACTGACATCTCCCTCATTCGCCACTTTGTGACCGAGGTCAGTGCCCTGGCAGCACCCTCTGGGCTTGATGTCACCTTGCACCCAGCAGTAGTCACGGTGATGACAGTGATTTGGATCCTGGTCCTTCAGGCACCTCCTATCCACAGGAGCTGTCATACCTTTATGTCCCCTGCCCATCTTCATGTTGGAGTTGGGGATGGTCTCCAGGAAGAAGAGGGTGGGAGTGGGGACAGGGTGGGGGTCCCTCCACGCTGCTGCCATCTGACCAGCTCACAGGCTGTGCTCCCCACAGGTACTGGATGTCATCGCGCCCCCCTACACCTCTGACTTTGTGCAGCTTTTCCTCCCCATCCTGGAAAACGATAGCATTGCTGGCACCATTAAAACCGAAGGCGAACATGACCCCGTGACAGAGTTCATAGGTAAGGCTGGCGTGAGCATCCCTGTGCTGCACTTTTGATGTCATTGTTTCCCTCTTTTTAACCCAGGTCCCTACTGTTTGTTACAGCTCACTGCAAGTCTAACTTCATCCTGGTGAACTGACTCAGACATCCCCAGAGTGGAGCCGGCCCCTCCGGGAGACCCCTGTGGAATAACCCTGTGCAGAAGCCGTTGTTGGAAGACGCCCCGTCAGCGTCTTGGAAATGGGCTCTGAACGGGAGGACGTAAAGAACTTGTGTGTAAAGGAAAATGTTAGCAGTGTAAGTGGAAAACTTGGGAATGGGCCCTCTCTAAGTCCAGGTCTGCCCCCTGGATCCCGTCTACAGTGTCACTTCCCCTGGTAGTGGACTAGGCTTCTAAGACCCCTTAGGATGTAGTCAACTGTCAGACCTGGGGTGGTAGAATTCAGAGACTGAGACACTCAGATGAACTGTTTTCAAAGTTGGCTTTTGTTTTTGCACAAGATCTGATTGGTTAGTTCATATTACTGTGATTACTTTTATTTTCCAAGAACGTATAAAAGCTTTTCTGTGGTGAGAAGGTGTGGATCCCGGTGTCATGTTGTTCTTATGTGTAAATAAAGCATTCAGATTCAGCTCTGGCGTGAAGTGTGCATTTTATTCATCACTTGGGCAACTCAAAATTGCCATCTGCCCCCTGTGCGCCCCATTGATTTCAAGGTGACAAAGGAACTGGTGGTGAGTCCGAGCTGTTTTACCTCACAGACCACAGCTGCCAGATCATCTGTTGTGGAGGTCACATCGTTCACTGCCCCTCGGATCCCTCTTCTCCAGGCTGTCCTCGCGGCAGGGAGCCGTCCAGTGCAGGCACGGAGCTGGCCTCTCCCCGGTTCTCCCCTCTATCAGCCTGTGGCATTTCCACCCGTGTCTCCTCCATGCTCAGGGCCATCACTGGCTGTCACAGACGTGAACATCAACCCCCAGTTCCTTCAAACCACAGCAGCGCCACCCCGATGCCTGTGACGATGGGATCCCCTCTGGTTCCGGCTCTCGCGATCCTTTCTGTAAGAGCTGCTCTGCCTTAAACGATGGGGTCCCCAAACGTGCAGCTCTCCTCGATGGCCAGGTTGTAACGGGCACCCTCCCCACCTTTGTAGGTGCTGGTCACGATCCGCATCCAGCCGTGCTCACCCTGTGAGGAGTGGGACTGTGCATGAGGACTGGGGACCCCCCCCACACCCCGCATCTCCTACCTCCTGTCTGCTCTCAAGAGACCCTCTCCTCCCTCTTCAATCCACCTCGAGCTCAGGAAACCCGCAGTGTCCAAAGTCACCTGCTCAGCTGCCCCTCCCCTTTCCTAAGACTCCTATTCAGATACCGCTTTTGTGAAATATTTAAACTTGGTTAATCCTTAACACAAGGGGTACATGGGTCTGTATACCAAGAACTAATTAATGTAGCTGAAATGTTGACTCTTTGAACCAGATGTTTGGACTACATATTACCACCCCCATTTATAGTCGTTGAATAAAAAATACTGATATTTCAACACTGACATAAATCATCTTCCCTGGATTTCATCATAAAGAATTAGTGTCTGAAGCTGAATCATTAATACGAGGTCTCAGAAATGAAAATTCTGGCAGTTGATGTAACTCCCCTGGGTTTTTAACCCAACCTGAATAGTGTTTTGAACTTCCCTGGTGGTAGAACAGATGAGAGCCCACCTGCCAGTGAAGGGGATACAGGTTCGATCCCTGGTCTGGGAGGATTCCACACGCCAAAAAGCTACTAGGTCTGTGGGCCACAACTACCGAGTCAGCTCTGGAGCCTGGGAGCTACAACTATTGAGCCACACGCCACAACTACTGTGAAGCCCCAGTGCCCAGAACCCAGGTCCCACAGGAAAAGTCACTGCAATGAAGAGGACCCCCTGCTCACTGCAACTAGAGAAAGCCCGTGCAGCAACAGAGACCCAGCACAGCCAAGATTAATTCTTTTTAAAAAAGGTATTTTTGAGGAAACCCCAGTTATTACTTAGGAGACCAGAAAATATGACAAGAGAAAGAATGAGATGGTTGTAAAGGAATAAAGCAACTAAATGGAAACATTTAAAGTAGGGCTCCTCAACCAGGGTCTTCCCCACCTCCATGAGATGTCGGGATGTTGTGGTTGTCACAGCTGGGAAACGGAGAAGGAGCATCTGGCATCAAACGGGTAGGGGCCAAAGAGGCTGCTGAACACACTGTGATGCTCAGGACAAGCTCCCCACCACCACCATGTGGTGCAGAAGCCCCCCAATCTCACATCTGGAGCCTGAAGCCCCACTGCTCAGGGCTACAGTTCTCAGCTACAAACCCCCCCAAAACCACCTACGTGAGAGCAGTCCCAGTAGATTCGCCTTACCCATGGTTCGCCCCACGAGTTCCGGACAATCCAGTACTCTGTGCCGTCGCTGACACCCCAACCGGCCACGGAGACGATGTGGTTTATGTAGGCTTGCTCATTGTATTCGGAGTAGATGCCGCCAGTGTAGTTAGACATCTTGTTTGTTGCCATTATGCCACAGCTGAGAGCAAGCAGGGAGAATGTGCACTTTCAGTGGCCACTGTTCACCACGGTTAGGAACAGCTCAGATAACTCACACCTGACGGTTCTGCCCAAACTTCTGTTGTTACTCACCTGGCGTCCCCTCTATGGTTTCTATACCGGCAGCCCCGCAGCATGGGCTGCACCCTGGGACCTTCCCACACACGTGTGCCTCCTTCCCAATAATCCTCCCAGGGGCACATAGACTGTTGAGCTTTACTTTTTGATTAGCTGCTAAGTTATGTTAGGCTCTTTTGTGACCCTGTGGACTGCAGCCTGCCAGGCTCCTCTGTCCATGGGATTTTCCAGGCAAGAACACTGGAATGGGTTGCCATTTCCTTCTCCAGGGGATCCTCCCAGCCCAAGGATCAAACCCGTGTCTCCTGCATTGCCAGGCAGGTTCTTTACCACTCAGTCACTGGGAAAGCCCTGAGTTTAATTTTGAGAAAACTCACGTGGCAGTTGTTTCTAGCCTTGCGGGTACAGTTGGCCAGAAGAAAAGGGATGAAAATGACCTGGGTCCCCTCAACCTGAAGTGCCCACTGAGGGCAGGGGTCTCAACTCCATACCTGATGGGGCCATTGGCGTAGATTTCGGCCATCATCTTCTGCCTCCCCGAAAGGGAGCCGTAGTCACCGACCTTCCAGAGGGTGTAGTTCTGGATGACGTGGCACTCTTTGAATTCAGTGCACGTCCCGCACTGGTTAAACTTGTCACACTCTGGGGACCACATGGAGAGGCAGCGTGAGACCCTTTCCTCGTTAACATGCAAACAAAGCAGTGCGTCCAGACCCCAATCTTCACTTTTCTAGCTGAGTGCTCCATCCACTAGCTAATAAAACAAATCACCTTGCGCTCAGGTGTTTAAATTACTCTCTTCCTTCAGCTATAGGAGTCACCATTCCTTCCCCAGCTCTCAGCAAAAAGACATTAATTAGCACGAAGCAGGCGCTCAAAAGCTCGACTTTTCCTGAAAGCCAGGAGAAAGGCCTTTGCATAAGACTCTACAGCTGAGAATAGAGGGTAATTAAATTCTTAATTTTTAATAATTTTTAGTAATTTCCTTTGATTTCCAAGGGGAGCAGCCTTTATAATAAGATTATATTGTTGGCTAGTGAATAGGTTAACACATCTGGGGGGAAAGTTAGCATTTTCTTGATTTGAGAAGGCATCAAGAATTAGGGTTCAAAACAAAGTGCGGCTGTTAGATTTGGAAGACGCCACACCGTCTCGTGCGTTCTCGCCTCATCCATCCTGCCTCCGGCCCACAGCCCCACTCTTGACTGCTTTCATGTTACCTATTTCTGCCATAATTTTCATGCCTGTCCAGATTCCTCCCCCCAGGACAGTAAACTCTTTGAGGATTAAACTGTTGGTTTAATTCACCACTTGGACACCAAATGCCCAGGACACCCTGAAACATGGTGGATCTGTGGCCACATTTGCTAACAAAAAGACAAGACCACTTAACTGCAACCAGGGGCCGACGAGTTCCATCTGGCCCTATTGTTCTAGGTGGGCTCCAGGGCCTGGCTGAGGGCAGACACGACCAGTTCTGGGCAGAGCAGGGCCCCAAGACCACCTGGGTCCCCAGTTCTGAGCCCTCAGGGGCCCCCCTTCTCCTTTTCACCCTGGGCACCTCTCTCTGAGCCTCTGACCCCTGTGGCATCTACCGCTTCAACAAGACTCACTCGACCAGTCTGGGGGGATGCTTTCTGGCTGGGAGTACAGCCAGGAGGCAAGACAGGGGCACCCGTGGGCGTGGGATGGCGCCATCAGAAGGCTCAGGGGCGGGAGCACACGTTTTATAGATGGGGTGGGGGGGGGCGGCAGAAAAGTCCCCTCCCTGGGCCCCTGATCATCCCCATCCTCCCCTTTCCTGTCTCAGAAGGCCTTTTGAGTTGGCCCCAGCTCTGTGCTCTGGTTACAAGGGAGCTCAGACAGGAGACTTAAAACTACCCACTATGGGTCTGGGGTTTGGACCCTTTCTCTCCTTTGGTTTCCGAGGGGAGCAGGTTGAAAGGAACATGCCAGCTCCAGGGACTGCAGGCCAGCTTGTGTCCACTAGTCCATGCAGTGCCCTCGGCTCAGGGTCGTGACTCAGGCCAGGCCTTACTGCTGCCTGCTGGCTCTCCCTACCAGGCTCTTGGAAACACTCTTCCCTGGACCCACGTTCCTCTTACAAAGGCTGTGAAACCACTAAAATGCCAGATCCAAACACCAGGGCCTGGCCTGGTCACAGTGCATGCAGGCTGGAGAGCCCTGCCCCAAGTCTTTCTCATCGGTCTTCTCAACAAGGACGTCAGGCCCCCACTTCCTGATCCCCCAGCCCCACCCAGGGGGCTCCGTCCCATCCTCCCCCGGGACCGGCCACAGGACCTGAGAAGTGTGTGGGCCTGGGCTCTGGACCACACCTGCCCTGGGAAGAGGGAGGCGTGCGTGTGCCCATGTGTGTGTGTCTGGGGTGGGGTGGGGGGGGCAGCGAGCCGTGCCTACCTTGGTCCTTAGCCTGGTAGTTGTTGCAGGTCTCGTCAGGGATGCCATGCCGGTGGGCATACTCCCACACCGGCAGGTCGTTACCCCCCTCGCAGGAGCCGGCGTCGCCGCAGTCGATCACGTGCTGCACGGACAGCAGTGTGGACGGCCACGCCCCCTTCCTCTTGATGTTGATCCGGTCTGCGGGGACAGCAGCCACATGGGTGGGCACCAACTCCCACCACCAACTACCAGGACAGCTTCAGGGGTGTCCTGCCTGAAGGCTGCTACTGACCAGCCCCCTCTAGGGCACTGCAGAGTCCAGACCATGGGGCGGTGGGGTGACCCCTCTCATTCCCCACGCACCTAGGCCCACACACCCCACAGGCAGCTGAGGGTGGCCATGCCCTTTACCCTGCACGTGCAGAGTCCTGGGGACCCTACAGCCAGTCCTACCCTAGCCAGCCACCTCACTTGTCACCTCCTGAGGTGATGATCCCACAACTAGCCACGCCGGCCCACATCTTGAGATCCCACCTCCAAATCAGAACTCCCAAGCCTGTTCTTTCCC